TCATCTGTGGTGTATGTGTTATACTATGTAAACCTATCTCTTGCTCTTGCCCTATAATCATATCTTTCTCTCCTCAGTTTTCATGCTTGCCTTTCTTTGGTGCGTCTGGTCATTCTTCAGCCATGAGCGCACCAAGAGCCAACATTTCAGACTCAAACCTGACAGTAACAATAATAGTATCTTTTCATAGTTAAACAACTTCTCAAAAGCTGTTGCAAGGATTACCATATTGGGCCTCAGAAAGTAGTACCCCAAAATGAAGGCCTCAGAAACAAAATTTTTCTCAGAACTTCTCCCGTCCTCCTGCCTCACAGTCCCATTCTCCTCTGAGGCCAGCCATAGAAACTAGAACCCCTCATCCCTAAGACAGATGAGAACCACTTTTGTGTTCTCACCATAGGTGAGAACCACCACAAAAGCCAGAACCACTTTTCCTGAAAGCCAGTTATGAAACCTAAATTTATTCTGTGTAAAAACTGGCTGTACAGAAATCATCTAACCTAACTTATTTGACTGTAGGTCGTAAGACCCCTATTCCAGTAAGAGCCCTGCCCCACACCAAGAAGGAAGGAATGCATGCTCAGAGAGGCCAAGAAGAATCTAGATAGACAAGCCTTACAGAGCTTCCCCATTCAGTCTACTAACATTAATTCATACCTTTTTTGTCCATATTTCTACATGACTGCCCATACTTTGTTGAACTTAAATATAAAAATGGACAATTTTCCCTTTATCTTTGGGTCTTCATCCTGAAGTCTCCCATGTATACCCATTAAATAAATTTGTATGTCTTTTCTCCTCTTAATCTGCCTTATACCTTGGTCCCTACAAACAGTCAATTTGTTACGTGCATAGAAGTGTTCCTGGCATGTGGCAAGTGCTATACAAGAGTCTGTCTCTAATATTGCCATTGGTATTGTTCAACTCCATCACATGGCTCTAGAATTAGGCACAATGTATTTTCTTTTTTCTTTTTTCTTTTTTTTTTTTTTTTTTTGAGACAGAGTCTTGCTTTGTTTTTGTTGTCCAGGCTAGAGTGAGTGCCATAGCATCAGCCTAGCTCACAGCAACCTCAAACTCCTGGGCTCAAGCGATCCTCCTGCTGTTGGGAGTCGACTACCTCTCACTACCCCACCCAACAGAGAGACAGAGACACCGAGGATGCAAACACTCAAGAGGAGTTTATTTCCTGGCTAGCCAGGGTCCAAGCCTTGAGCACCAACACAGTGGCCACTCTGGTAGGCAAGGACCCCGACTGGGGTTGCAGCGTGCCTTTTATCCCTATGGTGCATACGCTATGCAGTGGCTGATCACGCATGGATTATGCATTGACCTTTAACATGATTGGTTGGCTGGTAGCCCCACTATACAGGGGTTCGAACGATGCAAAGTTGGCGCAAATAAGCAAGCAAGCAATGGTTTCCATGGCAAGCAAGCAACAGTTTCCAGAAGCCGGATGTTAGTTCCGGCTTCACTGGGGTGTGGGCCTTGCAGGTATGCAATGTCTCCACCCCTCACACTGCCTCGGCCTCCCGAGTAGCTGGGACTACAGGCATGTGCCACCATGCCCAGCTAATTTTTTCTATATGTATTAGTTGGCCAATTAATTTCTTTCTATTTATAGTAGAGACAGGATCTCGCTCTTGCTCAGGGTGGTTTCGAACTCCTGACCTTGAGCAATCTGCCCGCCTCGGCCTCCCAGAGTGCTAGGATTACAGGCATGAGCCACCACGCCCAGGCATGAGCCACCACGCCCGGCCAGGCACAATGGATTTACACCAATATTTATTGGTTGAATGAACAAGTAGACAGGTAGGTGGGTGGATGGATGGATGGATGGAAGAACATGGAAGAACAAATGCAATAATTTTTAAGAGTTCTAAAAGAAAACAATGCAGAGAGATAGTGGGCAGGATTAGGGGCACTATATTCAAAGAGTTGAAAATGTACTTTTGGTCTATACTAAAGAGTCTTCCATAACTGAAAGTTGCTGAGTTAGGCAATAGTAAAAGTTTCAATGCAAGGACAAATTCAGAAAATGTTACTACTCTTGAGTAGTGGGCTGGCAGGGTTAATATTCTTCCAGCTGGTATACATAAATACTGCTGTGTGGGTTCTAGTGGAATTTACCATGGCCTGGTGAGAAATAACTCACATGAGTGAAATTGATGGAAAAAAGTGGAGATTAATAGGTGCTGGCCAAGTGCAGCAGACAGTGAGGTCAGTGCGGTTACCACAGGCCAAACCACTAACTCCCTTCTCTTAGCGAGTACTGCCTGGGGCATTATAATCTACCACTGTTGGATTATTTTACTGGAAAAGCAGCTACTCATGGTTTCTCTACATTTTTGCTTTCTCCTACAACTCTCAGTTGAATACTCCTTTATTACTCAGGGCTTCCCAGGACCACACACTTTCCTGTGCAACCTGTTCCAAGAATGTGATGTTCCACATTTGGAAAAGTAGCGCTCATATAAAGTCCTAGCAGATATTTCTCTTTTGATTTCCTTCCACAGCGATCTGTGACGTTGTCACAGCCTTTGTCTCAACCCGAGCTTCTGAGGTTAGCAGGTTTTCAGCGATCTTCAGAGCAGTATGCCTGTGCCTACACACTGATCCTTTTCCGTTCATGTAACCGGCCCTCCAGATACACCTTTGCCAAGTGGTTTTCTGAGCTTCCCGGTGAAGAACTTTATATGACTTTCCCCCACCTTTTAAAAGGCTTTTTCAATCTTTCTTTGGCAATAGGTAAAAACAAACATCTGAGAAAACATCAGGGAAAGTTTTGGATAACGCCAGGACCTGAGCCTTCAGTCCCAGGCCCTGTTTATTCAGCTGGAAAGGCCCACCTGTGCACTTCCCACAGAGCAGAGATGTGGCCATTAGTGACAAACACAAGACCTCATCACCACAGAAAGACAGGCCAGATCTCATGTCTGGAAAAAAATGGGTCACTTATAAAGACTTTAAAAATTTATTTGTTCAGGCCAGGCGCGGTGGCTCACGCCTGTAATCCTAGCTCTCTGGGAGGCCGAGGCGGGCCGATTGCTCGAGGTCAGGAGTTCGAAACCAGCCTGAGCAAGAGCAAGACCCCGTCTCTACTATAAATAGAAAGAAATTAATTGGCCAACTAATATATATACAAAAAATTAGCCGGGCATGGTGGCACATGCCTGTAGTCCCAGCTACTTGGGAGGCTGAGGCAGGAGGATTGCTTGAGCCAGGAGTTTGAGGTTGCTGTGAGCTAGGCTGACGCCACGGCACTCACTCTAGCCTGGGCAACAAAGCGAGACTCTGTCTCAAAAAAAAAAAAATTTATTTGTTCAAAGGAACCACACTACCCTGTGGCTCCCACTATGATCCTGCCCCGAGCCCCCTCCTGGCTGGCCTGTGTATGTGCACACACACCCCACGTAGGACTTCCATGTTGGAGGCCATTTTTGCTTCCCAAGGTCTTGCTTTGACCTTGGCCCTTTAGCTGAAGCCCCAGCCCCGTCAGACATCTGCCCAAACAGGACAGAGAAGCATCAATCTGAAGTGAGCCAGTCCTTTATAACAGCACAATTTAAAAAATGTTTTCTGATAATAATAGAACCTAGGAAATTGGTTAGTATTGTGTTTCTAGAATACTGTATCTTGCTGTTCAGTATAACAAACTTCCATTAATCACATTCTATAGGCAACTAGGGATAAAGACAAATCACACCCAAGCCCTGTCCTCAGGGTCTCCTGTGTGGGGAGAGACACAGCACATGACTATAGTCCAATACATGCTGGAGCACAGAGGAGGGGCACCTACCAAAGCTTTTCTTGGGAGAAGGATGTGGAATCAGGGAAGGCTTCCCAGAAAAGGTGGCGCTCAACCTTGTTATACTTGACTTTGTGTAGCGGTGTTAGCTAGGAGACAAACTCCTCTCCAGGCCTGGACCTTTGGGAGCAATCTTCATAAATAACTACATAAAATAATTTGTGTTTTGCCCAACAAGAGTCCAGTTTAAAAATTTTGCTTCTCCAGCAGATGTTTGGCCATCTCTGCCTCAGATAAAAGAAGATTTTAGTCAAAGGGCAAAAAACCACATAGAAGATAATCCTAGGCTTTTGAATTTTCATGGGCCCAGATCTGAGATTGTGGGCATTTTAAGGGGTTTTCAGGAGTGATTTTAACTATGAATGATTGTTGCCTTCTATGTTAATTTTTGAACTTTATAACTGAATATGAATATGGTTCCACCAAGCAGTGTTTTGAAAGAAAAAAAAATGCTATCCCTAGAATTTTATGCCTAAGCAATTTGTCTTTCATATGTGAAAACAAATGTGCCCAGGTATAAAAGGATTCATATATCCTTGAAAACATTATTTGAAGATGTACTACAATAGAGGGAAGTAATTAAAGCCCATCAATATTGGGGCTGTCACAGTATAAAAGGATCACTGTTGAGTAATTAATCAATTTAAAATAGAAATGTAACTTTGGTTATAAAACAGAATGATAATATCAAAAATTAAGACCAATTATATTATGAATCCAAAATCCTAATATTAATAAAGATGGATGATAGAGAATAAAAGGGTGTCAAACTTCTTGCCTTTTATATATAAAAATATAAGATACCATTTCATTTCTGAGTTGGACAATGGGTGAAATATAGGTTAAAGTACTTTTGTAAAATTTATAGTGACATAAAACTTTAAGGCAGAATGATATATAGGGTATATTATGCAAAGCTCTGATGATGATAAAAGCTCAGGATGCTTCTTGACTATAATGTGTGAGACCCCAAGGCAGAAGCACCCGGTGAAACTAGTCTGGAATTCCTGACTCGTGATGACTATGTGAAAATGGAAGTATTTATTACTTGTTATGGACTGAATTGTTTTCCCACCCTCCAGTGCCTAAGAATGTGATGTTATTTAGAGATAGGGCCTTTAGAGTGGTGATAGAGTTAAAAATGAGGCCACTAGGGTGAGTTCTAATTCACTTTGACTGTTGTGCTTATAAGAAGAGAAGATTTGGACACCCAGAGACACCAGGAATATATGCACACAGAGGAAAGATCATACGAGGACACAGCAAGAAGGAGGCCATCTGATCTTGTACTTCCAGACTCCAGATTTGTAGGAAAATAAATTTCTGTTGCTTAAGCTACCCAGTCTGTGGTATTTTGTTATGGCATCCCCAGCAGACTAATACACTGTTCTTTTAAGCTGCAAAGTTTTGAATTCATTTGTTAAATAGCAATCTATAATAATACAAACTCATAATTTTTGAGGTTTTTACTCCTATTTTGCATAGAAAAATCGAAAAATGAATAATAAATTAATCAACCGGAAAAGTCACAGAGTTTTCAGTAATCTTAGAATGCTACCTTCAGTTTATTCCCTGGTCTGTCTTTCTGATTCTATAAGACTGTTTGAAAAGTTCCTCTGCTATGAGTCTGAGTCTCCCAACCACAATTCCTGAGGGGAAAACGCATCCCACACCGTGCACCCACTTCCCAGCTCAGCATACAATCATTGATGAGAACAGTTATTTGGGTCAAAATATATATATGCAGTTATTTGGGACAAAACAAATGTATATAAACTATTTGCTCAACTCTAGGGAAAATTATGTGTAAATTGTAATAGATCCTTATGTTAGAATATCATTCAAACATTACAAAGCATATTTACAAAGAGGTCTTTAATGATCTGGAGACATTTTTATGATGCATTTTTAATTATAAGAAATGATATAATCTTATTTGTGTAAAAAATATATTGTATCTTAGAGTTGGAAGCTGCTGGTAGGGATTATCTTTGGATGATGGGATGTTGGAGATGGCTTTTCTCCCCTTCTTTCTGATTTTCATCTCATTTGAAAATGAATATGTAATTACTTTCTTAATCAGAGCATTTTACTTAAAGAAAAAAGTAACAATCCTGCCCATCCCTCATGACTGCTACCCATTAAGATTCTCCAAATCCACCTGTTAAAATGAATCTCTCTCCTCTATAACTTTGTTATTGTATTCTACCTTGTATTATCATATCTATATATCCATGTTTGGCATTTGCATAGTATTTTTCTTCTAGGCAGTTATGAATGTGTGCCTCACAGCAATAGCAGTGTTATCCAGGCTTAGCTTTCCAGAACAGGACATCACTAGTCTCACACCAGCGTGACAGTGCCACGCAGGCAGAGCAGGCCCATCCTCTCGTGCTTCCATTTCTTGGGAGGCAGGTTCTGTGGGTTTTCATCCCTATCTCCCAGAGCCAGGCACATAGTGGGTGCTTAATGCATATTCACTAGATCGAAGAGAATTCCTCTTCCCATTATAAACTTGTTTTCCAATGAATCTTAAGAAGGACTGAATGGGGGCATCAATGCATTGGGTGGTAGGATTTCAAGAGTACAGTAAGGCCTATTCCTCTCTCCTGAACTGGTGGATTATCCCATCCCATAGCGATGGATTTTCTGGGTTATAGCGTTGCTGCTCGCAGTAAGAGAGGAAAGCAGCCCTGGAGCATAGTGTGCTCCCTATCACATCACAACACATCCCGGAGGCTGCCCTAGGAGCCACATGGAAGTGGAAACCAAGGCCACCCCAGGACAAGGAGCTGGAACTAGTGTGGAGGTGGCAGTCCTTGAGTCCTGGTGTGCCCCTTCTCCCTGTCCTGCTCATGGCTGTAGACGCCAGGCACCAGTGTGGGTTGAGCACACTGCCAGGTCGTGAAGCATTCTCTAAGAACAGTCTCTAGGACCCTGAGAGTTGGGCTCTGTCAGTGAGGAGAGCCCTATTGCAGGGTGGCCATGGGGGTTGCAGCATCTCTCTCTTTATGGCCCTTTCGCTTTGGGCTTGCTGCCTTCTTCTCCCAAGAAGCTGAGGACCCAGGGCCCCATTTTTACCCTCCTCACGCCCAACACACACCCCTTAAAAAAAGAGGCACCAGCCAGAGTGAGAGCCAAAGGACACCAGCTGGGTGGCTGTGGAGGGCACCTCCAGTCCAGGATGGAGGGGCCCAGGTTGCACAGCTCACCAGTGGAAAGAACCTTACAGGGATTTGGGGCCACCATAAATTTGGCAAGTATAAATCTCAGTTCCCAAACTAACAGCAATCTATTTTTCTGTAATTCCTATTTTGAGCTCCCATTCTACTGGGATTTAGGCAGAATCTCGATCTCAGTCGATATAGAGATACCATGTTTCCCCCCAAATAAGACCTACCCATAAAATAAGCCCTAGCAGGATTTTTAAGTATTTGGGCAATTTAAGCCCTGCCCTGAAAAGAAGACCTAGTGATGGGCCTGGCTATGCAGTGTTTCTGCACAACCCATGCATTTCGTTGCAGAGCAGTAAAGAAGACGAGCAGCCCTTCTCATCTGTCCCATCGTGACAGCTACTATCCCAGAGGTGACCGGAAAGGTGTGGGCAGCCCCACCAACATGGTCGGCTCCCCCTGTCAGGTCCCAGCCATCCTGTGTGTGCTGCAAGCTGAGGCTTTGAGGGGAAAATAACACATCCCCTGAAAATAAGCCCTAGGGTGTCTTCTTGAGGAAAAGTAAATATAAGACCCTGTCTTATTTTCAGGGAAACATGGTACATCTGAGTCCCAGGAAGCTTACAATGCTAAGGTATTGGGTGCAAGGGTAAGGGATACAGTCACTGGTATTCTCTAGCCACTCAGCACTACTCAGGGGCTCCTCATTTATTGTCTCATCAGGAAGGGGCTGCCTAAGGTCCCATATGCCTCGACTAGAGTCCTCATGAAGCCTCAGCACCAAAACTTGCAGTTTCCCCAGAGCGTTGGCAGGAAGCAGGGCCCCAGGCCCCCTGTTCAGGCTGTACCCAGCCATGCACCCTTCACTGTTCTTTCTATCCCCAGCCCAGGGGACTGTGTTCTAGCTGGGGAGTTCTAAAAGGGGATGGGGAAGGTATTAGATTAGTTTGCTATGGCTGCAAACTGCAAAATACCTCAAACTACATGGATCTCTCCTGGTTCTGGAAGCCAGAACTCTGAGATCAAGGTGTGGGCAAGGTTGGTTCCTTCTGATGGCCATAGGAAGACTCTGTTCCATGCCTCTCTCCTAGCTTCTGGTGGTGTGCTGATAATCTTTGATGATCCTTGACTTGGCTTGTAGAAGCATCACCCTGACCTCAGCCTTCATTATCACATGGCATTCTCCCTGTGTGCACCTCTGTCTCCAAATCTCTGTCTCCAAATCTCCCCTGTTTATAAGGAAGCCAGTCAGATTGGACTAGGAGCCCGCCCTACTCCAGGATGACCTCATCTTAACTACTTACATCAGCAATGACTGTATTTCCAAATAAGGTCACATTCTGAGGCACTGGGAGTGAGGACTTCAACATAGGAGTTTTGGGCAAACACAGTTCAACCCATTGTAACCAATGCCCTGTTTTTTAGTGCCCCATCTTGAAATTTTCCTGCCCATTTCTTCTTATGCTCTTAGTGAGGAAATACTGCCCTTTACCCTCCTTCATTCCACCAGGCACTCCCCATGCACATGTTTCCACTGTCTAATCATGTGCTTGTTTAGAAATTCCAAGCACTGAGTCTTGGAACGATCCAGACTCCCACCAGATTACCTCAAGGCCACAGTTAATCTATAGATAAGCAGTTTTCAAGATGGCCCAGCCAATTCACCAGGTACAGCAATAATTCCAGATAGTCATTAAGACAAGTGAGGCTGAACAGCACCTCCTTGCCATTCCCGAATGCTCTTCATACCAAATTCTATTTTTAAAGCCCTATCCTCGGCTCAAGGCTTCAAAATGGTTTCTTTGAGGCAGGAGCATTGGCCATTTCCCCATTGCTAGCTCTGGAATAAAATCACTTTCCTTTCACTGCACCTTGTCCTTGTTAGTGGCTTTTTGCAAGCAGTGAGCAGCCAAGCCTGCACTCGATTACCCCGTAACAAGGGGGTGGGCAGCTCATAGGGAAAAGGAATCCTCCTCTCTCCCCTAACTCATGCTCTTCCTCAGGATTTTTATCCAATCATTTTGGCTATTCTTGTGGAACATCATTCTTTTATGGATTTTGGGTTTTGGAAACCAAGGCAAGGACCTTCCTTTCATTCTGCCTTCTGCCCTATTGCATTCCTTCTTTGAGGTGTTCAAGAAACAATACCTTAGTTATTTGTATCTAGGCAACAGAAAAAGCAAGAAAAATCAGTAAACCAGTCAATATTTCAAAGAGACTGTTCTTCTAAATAAGTAACCATTCCTTTTCCTGGAGTATTGACGAGGGAGTCTACGGCCACAGGAGTCAGTAGAGGAGGATTGAGGGATTGAGGATCTCAGTTGTGTCCTCTTTGGAGATGAGAGTTGGCAATCAGCAGTAATTCCCTTAGCAAGTAACAAGAGAGGAAGCAACTTTTAAAAACACACACACACACACATTTATTTCAAAATTTTACATAATCTTTGGGTAATTCAGAATTAGCTTAGGAATGTTCCAGAAGTTTCTGAGACTAATGTCTCAACTTCAAACCAATAGCAATAGCTTATTGATTAGTGGAAGGATTAGGGAAGACCCCATGATACTGGACGAGGAAATGGCTCTTGAAGAAGACAGAGAACCTCATGCAGATAGAGGCAGCATTCCCTTGTAACTTATACATTACCTCTCACAAATATTAAACATCTTGCCAGACCAACAGTAATACCCACATCTTATTTGCATTTTACCAAAGTTTCCACATATAGAAAGCACAGAACTAAAGCTTCTGTAGACTTCAGAATCATATTTAAATTAATTTGATTGCTTATATTAATAATAACAATTAAAAACTAGATCTACCCAGTGTAGACTCAGTCTCCACACCAACATGTATCTCCTGCTGACAGAATCCCACCATCCTCTGCACTCAGTGGTCATGAGTCAAAGATGGCAATGAGTGTGTCAAGTCAGAACATAAAACAAGCGAGGAATGAATGGGCCCAGAGAGGGGCAAAGGACTCGTCCCATACAGCAGTTAAGCAGCCCAAGGGCTCTGCTCATTCCCAAGCAGATCTGACTTGAGCTGCAGGCAGGGAGGAGGACCACGTTCTGGAATGTCCACTGCCTTGGATGGTTTCCTGGGTGTTTCAAGTGGGGTAGTTGTTGTCTCCCTGAGGACAGGACCTCCTCCCCCAGCCTCCCTCA